AAGAGGTCTTCCTCATACAAGGACAGAACTCCGAAAGTTCCCAAAGACTTCACGCCGAAGGCAACTCTCATTAAGTGGGTCAATGAACTAGAATCGGAGTGTGGTAAGTGGCACTGACCTTGTGCCAAGGAGTGACCCTGATGTACAGCCTTCACATGCATGGAAATTTCCCCTCCCATATTTACAACTCTAAACGTTTATTAAACTTCTACTTGGCCTACTTTTTTACTTAACTGCTTCGTTTTTTTTGGTCCCCCCCTCCAAAAAAAAACTTGCACTCGTGACCCCTTGCATTGCGGAGTTATCACAACTTTTTAATTTGCATATATGGCATTTTATTAAATCCGTTTAACTTTAAGTACTGGCCAAGAGGGCTTTATAGCTCGCTAACCTCCCCACCAGTTGATAGCCGTTCAGTGTATCATTAAAGTTTGAGGACGAGGTGGGTCTCGGCAAAGAGAGACTCCGAAGAGATCCGTCACATTTAAAAAAAATTCTATAATGAGAACAAGAACTATAAGGACGCCACCGCCAGCCTCATAACAGAATGAAAGCTTTGAGGTATAGATCGCAAGCCTAAAAGATAAATACTAGCACAAGGAGTGATGAGGTATACCCGTATATCAAGGTACGTATGCAAAAGGTATCTCAGACACGAGAAGTTGGTCGCAGAAGCTAGAGGGTTACAAAGCGCCGAAGTAAATATCAACGACACGATCTTCTGCAAATCAATGAATGTGAAATTTAAGCAGTAGTTGATACAGTAGGTAGAAAGATCTGTTTGGATTGCAGAATTTTAGGTAGAAAAATCTGTTTACATTACAGAATTTTAGAAAAATTTTTTTCCAGCTTTCATTCCTCTATAATTAATTATCGAACTTTTACTCTTTGGTAGGAAAATACGGAGCAGGGTTCGTTTTTTCTCCGCAAAAATCTAAAACCTGCTTGAGTTATCATTCCACACAAAACGTGCATGAGAAGCCTGAAGAACAGTCACAATACCATGACTGGAACAATACATGAATAACCCGCACATAGGAAACACACTTATGCCGACGTTCCTGTCCGACTTGCACCATTAATAAATCACAGGTCTTGAAAGTAGCAATATAACTAGCAATTATCTTAGTCTCCTAAAATTATTGAAGATTCTATTACCTATCCTTCACTTTCAACAGTCTACAAACTAGATGTTCTTCAACGTGCCGATGGTTTAACATCAAAACATACTTCCCTTCCATCGGCAGTATTTTTTTATATAAAAAGATTATGCAAACCGACAAACCACTGTTGACAGAGAACAAGAATCATTAAGCCAAGCCACATGACCTTTACAGCCTACGAGGCCATTTTAGGCCAAGTACTGATATTTCTTTACCAGAGGCGGGTCCTAGGAAAGGGACAGGGACACCATGGACTTCCCTGGGCCACTTGTATTTCCCTTTGCAAGTAAATCCTTTAGATGTGCATTGACTTCGATTAATCATTACATCGCTGCTGCTGCCACTACTACATTTCATAAGAAAGCCATCTATTCATAAAAAAAATTCGTGCCTCCGGCGACCTATCCTTCCCCATCCTCCCATCAAAACAGTCTACCTACCATGGACAATTCCTGGATCCACACTCGTTTGTTATATTTAAATGTTTCCATCATCTAATTTCACAGGATTGTGAAACCATTAAAATCATTTGCACTGCGCTGAATGAGGACTGTTCTCTTGTCCGACAGTGTCTCTAAGGTATTGATTTTCCGTAGCCACCAGACCTACAAAGTATTATTTCAGCTACACGTGTGTGAATATTTTGGAAGACTTAATTTATAAGCTGACCCGTGAAAATAAAAAAGTTAAGCTCCTGTGATCCACTTTTGTTTTGCTCCCTCACGCCCATAGGTCGTGTCAGATCGTCAGCCAGAGGAGTTTAAACCTCGAAAAATTGCAGTTATGTTTTGTTTCCATAATGAATTCCTCAGGCCGATTAAAAAGTGTGGCTAATGAGACGCTAGAAATTGGTAAGGCATGCTATAAAAAAATAATAAAAATACCACACCACACACCACACACACACACACACACACACACACACACACACACACACACACTACACACACACACACACACACACACACACACACACACACACACACACACACACACACACACACATGCTCGCCCACCACCTGAACCATCGGATAAATATTGGCTGTAAAAATGGGAGGCGAGCAAACAGTTGAATTTACGAGATATCGGTTCAGAGGCAAGCTAGACAGAGAAAAAAGGGTTAGCAATCTACACCCCAGTTTCCACACTCGCACACCTCTCACACTCATACGTGTACACTGTCACACACACACACACACACACACACACACACACACACACCACACACACACACACACACACACACACACACACACACACACACACACACACACACACGTTCACACTACCTACTAGCATATATATGTGCGTATCCACAAGTGTCTTTTGACAGTCGGTAAGTAACAGTCAGTTAAGGTCTAAAGATTGTCGACAATCACGACTGTTAAAGGTACACTCTAGTGTCTAGTACTCAAGCATACCTAAATCCCTCACAAAGTTTAGGAATAAACTCGATATATATATTCAAAGTGGCCCAGAAATCTGAACTCAGAAGGCGAATATACAGTTTACAGCTTAATATATACGAATTCTTGTAAAAATGTAATTTCTTAAGACTTCTGGGACGCCTTGTATAGTGTTAAACAAGACGAAGCATGTGTAACTAATGTGACATTTTACTGTGGCAACGTTTCGCTCTGCAAAAGCTTGACGAAGCTCCTGGAGAGCGAAATGTTGCCACAATAAAATGTCAAATTAGTTGCTCATGTGTCCTTTTACCTAACGTATTGTCAGTGCTTCGCCAACTCGTAATTACACGATTGCAAACAAACCATACTACGGGTGGGCCTTGAACTCGCGGTTCGAGAGTCGTAGAACTTTAGACCCACGCGTTAGACACTGAGTTTTACGACTCTCTAACCGCGAGTTCAAGCCCCGCCAGTGGTATTGGTTGTATTGTCGGTAAACCAACCAGCACTGTTATTCCTTGTACAGTGAGTCTTGGTTTAACCACTCCAGCCTAGACCAGTTTTGTTTAAACTTCTCAATCAAAATTTACAAATGTGATCAACATTTTTAGAGCATATTCGCTTATTTTGATAACTCCAGATAACAGTTTAACATTTATTATAATTAGGAGCGTACATGTACTTTCTGCTTATGTTTAAACCTTGGCTCATAAAAATTCAAGGACAATTAAAACTAATACTATGTTGTCCATAGCTTATTTGGCTTGCTCTGATATTAAAGTTAAATATGTATATATTATGATAATTTTAATTTATAAAATATATGAAATATATTAATATATATATATATATAGTTAGTATATATATTATATATTATATTTAATATATTTATATTATATAAATATATTATATATTATATATATAATATATATATATATATTATATATTATAATATAATATTATATTTATTATATATAATATATAATATATTTATATATTATTGATATATAAGTATATTATTAATATATATATATATATATATATATTATATAATATATTATATATATATATATATATAGAATTATATATATTATTATATTAATTATATATATATTATATAATATATATTAAGTATATATTTATATATATATATATATATAATATTATATATAATATATATAAAAATATATATTTTATATATATATATATATATATATTATTATATATATTATATATATATCATTTTATAATATATTATATATAATATATTAATATATTATATAATATATTATTATTAATATATTTAATATATTATTTAATATATATATATATATATATTATATAATATATATATATATATAAAATTAATATATATATATATATAATATTTAATATATATATATATATATTATATATATATAATATATATATATATATATATATATATATATATATATATATATATATATACATTTAATATATATATATATATAATTATATATATATATATATATATATATATATATATATATAATATATATATATATTAATATATATAATATTAATATATATATATATATATATATATATATATATATATATATATATATATAATAAATATATATATAATATTAAATATATATATAATATATAATATAATATATATATATATATATATATATATATATATACATTTAATATAATATTATATATATATATAATATATACATATATTAATAATATATATATATATATATATATACATATATTTATATATATACATATATTTATATATATATATATATATATATATATATAATATATATATATATTTGTACCTACGAACAAGTGGTATTAATCAATAACATAACTGCGACTAGCCAAGGATCGAACCATGCTTCTTTGGCCTGCCTCATAATGGGCCGAAAACTCATGACGCCTAATCCATGCGCGTCATGAGTTTTCGCCCACAACGAGGCACGTCAAAGCAGCATGGGTTTGACTCCTTGGCTAGTCGCAGTGAGACATATACATATATATATACATTATATATATATTATATATATATATAATTATATTATCATACTGGCCGATTCCCACCAAGGCAGGTGGCCCCGAAAAAGAAAAACTTTCACCATCATTCACTCCATCACTGGCTTGCCAGAAGGGTGCTTACACTCAGTTTTTAACTGCAACATTAGCACCCCTCCTTTAGAGTGCAGGCACTGTACTTCCCATCTCCAGGACTCAAGCCGGGCCTGCCGGGTTTCCCTGAACCCCTTCATAAAAAGTTTACTTTGCTCACACTTTTCCCAAAAGCC